CAGCTGCGGGCGCGTCGCCGAGGGCCGGTCTTCGGCGCGCACACACGCACTTGTCCCCGGAGGCCCCGGCCGTGGCGTTTGGAATCCGAGCGCCGAGCCCGTTGGGACTGCAGCTGGGTTCACAGTTTCCGCTGGAAGCCACGGCCCTCTCTTCCCTTCCAAGCTGGGAAAGGAGAAGTCGACACGTCCAGGGCGGGGTGGCCGCTGTCCCAAGTTGCTCGGCCGAGGCAGCCTCTGAGGTCCTCTGCTCGGGACGCGGACGACGGTGATGGTGATGGCGAGCTGCTGGGGGCCCCTGTGGGTCGCCGTGCTGTGTCTCCTGATCCCCGCCCGAGGTAAGGCCGGCTTTGCTCTGGGAGGGAGGTGCGTGGGGCCGCGTTTCTGTCTGCGAGGGAGGGAAGGTCGCCAGCTCGCTGGGCTGGCTTAGAACAGCACCGGCGTGGAGGGGGCCGGGAGGGGACGGACGAGCAACGTGGGGGTCTGGATGTGGGAGCTGCAGGCAGCGGCAGAAGGAGCTCTGTGTCCTGCCTTCGGTTTGGGTGTGTCCCCCGCCTCTGAGAAGCGGCCCGTCCTGCTGGGCGACGCGGTAGCAGGATGGGACACGTTGAATTTTCTAAGCTCCCTGTCTGTAAGTGAACGCACGAGCTCTGCGGCTTTTCCGGCGGCCAGGCCAGCAAGACCAGCTGTGAAACTCAACTGCGTGGTTTTCCTCGGCGGGGGAGGGGACACCTTGCCGAGATGGGGTTTTCTCGACGCATGATTAAGCGTTTCCTCCCAGTTACACGGTCACTGGTCACAATCGTCAGAGCTGCCGACACCCCAATGCGCAGTGAGCTGTGTGTGGCAGGCTCTCTGCCGGATACCGGGGTTCAGCGTGCGGGGAGGGTGGGGACCTTCGCCGAGCTGCTGCTGTCAGGAACCCGTGGAGCTTGTAGGATTTAAAGGGCAATCCATCGGATGGATGAGGCATTTGTTTTTTTTGGATTGTTTAGTATTCTAACTCCAG